CAAACTGATAAACCCTTTTTTCCATTGATCAGCTTCATCAACCCTAAAATGACGGGTTTCTTATAAGTGATGACAAACTCTTGACTGAGGATTGATGAGGCTGATCAATGGAAAAAGAGTTTATCAATAGAGAATAAATCCTTGGGTTTATCAGTTTGCAACGTATAACAAACCCTTCGTGGGTTTTTGAAGAAAAAAGGGTTGATCTAGGGGTAGATCAGGTTGATGAGCAAATTTTTCAGTCATAAACCCTTTTTGAGGGTTGACTAAATGCCGGATTTTTTTTCAGTGTAGACGCACAGAAAAAAATACTCTCTTGCGCAGGTTTGCTCGACAACTTGTACTGCAATAAATATTTTTCCCTTTTTGTTCTCTTCACTGGAGACGAAAAGAGCTACGCGCGCTGTTGTATTTTGTCGTCCGCCGGGTTACGTACCGTAGGAATGAATATACAAACGAGGAACAAATAAGTCGTACTTTTTATGAGGCAAATAAGAGCGCACAAGAATAAAAAGCAAATATTTTGTTCTTTCGGCATGCTTAGTCCAGTAGCAGTATAGAAGTAAGAAATGACTCATTCTTTACCTCCGTCGACAGAATCTACCATTGTAAAGAGAGTGACCGATGAGAAATTTGTAGATGTTTATACATCTAATGAGGAAGCAGCACGATTACTAGAAAATGGAAGAACATTAGTGGCCGTCAAAGCTTGGTTCTTTGTGGCTGCTCTTGGCAGTCACTCATATTCGTCTGGCATTCATTGTATTCGAATAAGAGTAGATGATGGCGTTCCATTTTTGGGTATTCGTTCACGAAGTATACCACCTGTACCATCTGAGTTTAGCGGAGGTAGTTATTGTCTTGAAAGTGTTTCCACATATGGTTGGGAAATAAGTTATGCTGCTATTATCAATGGACACGTTCATGCGAATTCAGAAGAGATCATGGAACCAGACAGTGCTATCTATTCACTTACGTTGAATTGTGATCAACGTCGATTAAGCTTGGTTAATGAAAACACCAATGAACAAAGTGAAATGGAAGTTGATATTCATCAGGTTCCTTTTCCTTGGTGCCTCTTTGGAGCATGATCGATTTACAGGTCGATTGTCGTTGATATGAACACGTGTTAGCGTACTTTTATATTTTCCGTTGTATTCATGAGAAAAGCTTTCAGCGCAATCCCTAACGGGATTAAAAATGTGAAACACGATCCAGCCAGACAAACGTTGAACACATAGAATGCTCAATTTATTTCCCAGTCTGCATTCCCATTTATCCAAACTTAAGCTTTTGAAAGCTACAGAGTGAATCCATGGGAAACGTACCACGTTTACAGCGATCGTTGAGTATTACGGGTGAGGGTGGCTGATATGAAGGATGGGTTTGAATTCTGCAATTCATCGGCGCCTACACCCACACATACCTAAATTCGGAATCAGATCTAAAATGGTCACGTACGTTCTCCGGCTGTCTAACGATTGAAAGTCGAAACCGGGCGAGGAGTCTTATACGCCACGAGATAGAGCAAGAGACACTCTACAAAACCCACTATACCCCAGTCCACCCAGATTCGGCAGAGCTGAGCAATAGAGCAGTCAAGTTCATGAAGGTGTGCTCCTTCATAGGCTCATTTAATTAAACCGACCTATTTGATTTACATATGGCTTGATAGAGCGGAAGATGGGCTATCAGAATATATATAAATAGTTGGGGTTTCGATTTTCTATAGAGATAAAAAATGAAAAATACTGTCAAGGACCGCCCTAATTTTCCTGATTTTCGCTATTTTCGTCAAACTGTATTTGGGGTCGTTCGGAGTCAAAACATACGCAAACCCAGGGTATTTTTATACCAAAATGATCAGCGCATCGAGCTCTACAAACCCTGAGAGTTTGAGCAAACTCAGAGAAAGTCATGTACAAAGTGGTACGTTTCCCATGGATTCACCCAACATATCATTATCAATAGCGATGTCTGCTGCTTTTTACGAAATTTCTGCTTCATCGATCACAATATGTGATCCTTCTTATTGAGCTTCCATTAACCGATCTCGATCTGTGATGCGAACTACACGTGTCGTTGTAGCGAAGTTTAAAACGAACCTGTCTGTGAGACAATGATACACAGTTTATTTGCCTTTTCCTCTAAAAACGTCTCTCTTTCTCCTTTTCTTTCTCTTCATTTTTTAGGTATTCGTTTCTACAAATAACAGTGGATAACGGTCAAGGCCTGTCGGTAAGTCTGTGACAGGATCTTTGGGCAATTAACATTAACATTTATGTATGAGTGAATAAGAAGTTCAAATTAAGCTTCGCTAATAGATGACTCGCTGATAGTGGTTCCGATAGGTGCCTATGGGATCCGACGTTCCTACAAAATCCTATAGAATTCCCGGTGACGGAATTGCATTGGAGTCCGTCGGCAAAAATCCCGTCGGTAGTTGCAAATTTTCTGATTGTTTTTCTTAGCTATATTCTATGATGACCCTAGGAACCCATGAAATCCGTCTTTCGGATCCGACGAAATTCAATACTGTATCCGATAGGATCCTAGTATGGGATTGGTCGGCCTGTGACTAAGAGAGTTATTTTTCTCCTCATGTTGTGCTAGCTTCTCATTGACATGTTCACTGTTACATCGATTCATATTTTTTTATTTTCCAAAAACAAAAAATGAGACAATCTAGATAGTGATACATGTCTTTAGTTTTCAAAAAGTTAATAAAAGAAATAAAATTCAGAATTAATATGAAATGTCAAAAATTTTGTCTTTGAAAAATAATAAAACTTGGATTAAAATCCAATAAAACCATCGTAACAACAATTATAGTTCGTTTGATTTTTCCATTGATTACACCAAGCATTGGCCATATAGGATGAAGTAAGACCAGCTCGTGAACAAGTGCGACTATTGTCTACTTCATTTGTTGTTGGATTTCGCCATGGACATGCTTCACCAGACAAACAAAATCGAGCTCGATTACAAACACAATAGATTTCGAGTGAATCTCCAACAGCATCAATACCACCATCATTTATACATTCATCTGGAATTACATGAATCTTTCCTGTTCCTTCACATTGTAGTTTCGATGTTTCTGCTGGAGTACATGTATCTGTTGTACTAGCACAGATAATGTCACTTGTTGAACCTTCATTAATAACACTAAAATTACGAAAGAAAATTGCTGAGATACATTGAATACAGAACGAATATTCCTACTTTAGAAATACTACTACAGCAAGTAAAAGAAACTTCATATAATACATCTTTTATTGTATATAGTGAAATTGTGTAAAATTTGCTCGTTTATATATCTAGTTAATTTTATGCGATAAAGTTAAAATCATGAATAAAAACGTATCTATTTTTCTTTTTACGACTCTTGAATATCGAATTAGCCGACGTATACCTATTGATGGATAATATTAAGTATTGTTTTATTTCTATGCATAAGTCTCCCGTATATATATATATACAGCTTGAAACTTGAATCCAATCATTTAATTATTCAAATATTATAGCTGAATAGATGAATACTTAGATTTTTCAGCTATTTAACTATTCAATTGTCTAATTATTCAAGTATTCAAAGACTCAAGTATTATACTTGAATATTCAAATTTGATGGACGAGAGTGAAGGAGAGTACCGATGGAATAAAAGTACAATGAGAGTCAAGGGGAAAAAACTGATTTAGATCACTCAAAACTCAGATTTGAATCATTTTTTCCTTCTGCATATAAACTCATTTTAGATCAAATAGATCACTTAAAATCATTTTAAATCAATAAATCACAAATTGTTTTTTCCCCCTTGATGAGAGTAACATGTTGTTCCTGATGTAGTCAAGCAGTAGTATGTGTATTAGGACACTCATATAGTTGAACGTATAGCTGAAGAGTTGAATTCCAGTTTCGAGCTGGACACTACTGTTAATTTCTTTCTTTTGGGTAAAAAAAAAAATTGTGAATAATTTAAAATAAAAACTAGCTATTTTTTATAGTATA